ATATATATATATATATATATATATATAATATATATATATATAGTATATATATTCATATATATAGTATCATAATATATGTATATAATATACATATACATGTATAATATATGATAATTATATATTATACTATACAATATATATATAAAATTATAACTTTATCTATTTTAACTCCACTACACCTATATGTGTATAGTATATGCAATAAAATAAATATATACATAATTAAACTATTATATATTATTAGTAGCTATATATAGACATGATACGTCTATAATATATATAGCGTCATATTATATATATTACTATATAATACTACTATTATATATATATATGTATATTCATTAGTATTATTATTACATACCATGTTATATGGTATATATAGTATATATAACGTATATAGTAATTATAATAGGTATTATATATAGTATCAGATATCTAGGTTATACATATATATACGTATAATTATATATACTTTATATTATACTGTACACTCTATATATACATATATACTACTAAACTATATATATATAATTATATATATATATTATATATGTACTGTAGTGGTATATAGAACATAATGTATGGATATGAATATGATGGTAAGGTATATGGTACATCCTATATATATATATACTAATATATATATACTATTATATATATATATAATGATGTGTGTGTCGTTGTGCTTCTGTTGTGTGTGCTGTGTGATGTGTGTGTGATGTGTGTGTCGTGTGTGTGGCGACACTGCTCATGTGCTGTGTGTCGTGTGTGTGCATGTATATATACATATATGATTAATTAATACCATTATATAGTACTATTAGTATATTATATATATATTATATAACATTTTTCGTGATTAATATAATAATACAGTATACATACATTATATATGATATAGGTATATATTATATATCTATTCATACTATTAGTATATACTATATATATTACTATTATAACTATAGCTTTTCATTATATACACATCAATATATATGATTAATGTATATGTGTATATGAGTGATCTATATACTATATCATATGAACTAAACTAAATATATATATAGATATATATATATATTATATTAGCATATAGTATATGTATAACATAATTTATATACATAGTATATATAAGTACACTATATATATCATATATACTATACTATATATATATATAATATACTATATATCATATGTATATCGTACGTTGTATTCTACTATTTAATATAGTCATACTGTATATAAATATATCGTCTAATATAATGTCAATATATTTATATATATATATACTATAATATCATATTACTATACTCTATTTATTATATACTGTTATATAAATGTTGTACTATATATTATAATATATTACTTATAATATATCATATGTTATACTATATACATCTATCATATATACTGATATATATATATACTATTATATTAATTTAGTATATATACATACATACGTATACATATACTATACATACTATTAATATACTAGCATATACATATATTATATATCTATACTATACTCACTATACTGTATATAGTATATATATATTATATATCACCGCACTATACAGTACTACTACTACTCATATATATATTAAGTATATATAATATATGCTATATATGTACTATATATATATATATATACTTACTATACTATGCATAATTATATCATACTACATATAACAACTATTATATATATATTATCTTTAGCTATTAATAGCTATACTTAGTATATATCATAATATATGCATCTACTATTCTACTACATAATATATACTACCTTACTATAGCTATATCTATTATATAATCAGTTATATAACATGTATATATATATAGTACGTTATATATTTATTACACTTACTAATACTTACCATATGATAATTATATAATTATTATATACACAACTACACACACCACATCTTACTATTATATATACTATACTTTATAATTATAATATAACTATTCAATTATATATCCATATATATAAGATAGTATATTATATATGAGGTATACTATAATTACTATATATAAATATACATAGACATTATACATATTATCTATAATACACTACATATATATATAATATATATAACAATATCTATATATTATCATATATTATATAGTATATATATTATTTTATATATTATAGCATACATATATATACATAAATAATAATATACTAGTGTATTACTATATACTATATACTATATATAATATATATATAGTATACTACACTACTAATTTATACATACCAGTATATACTATACTATAATATACTAGTATATATATATATGGTAGCTATATTATATATATACTATATTATATATAAACTAATGTATAATATCATCATATTATCTCACAATAGTCATACCTATGATCACATATAATACTATCATATTATCACCAGCCTCATAATACTATTACTATATATATAATACTAATACTCATATTACTACCTATCTACTTACTATAGCCTATATATAGTTATATGTCACCATGCCCGTGTGTGCGTGTGATATGTGTCCCACCTGCCCATGTAAGTCGCTACCTGCATGTGTGCCTGCTGTGTATGCAGCTGCTTGTGTTGTGAGCCTCTGTGTGTGTGCGCACTTGAGCTGTGCTGTGTTGTGTGATTGTGTGTGTCGTTGTTGTGTGGTCCCTGTGTTGTGTGTGTGTGTGTGGTGTGACGCGTGTGTGTATATTATATATTAATAGTATATATACTACTATATATATATATATAATATTATATCATATGACTTACTATATATGAACGTATACTCATACGTACTATATACTATATTTTATAGTACTATACTATATATATGTATATATATATATATGATATATATATATATATATATAAATACTTACTATCATATTATATTATAGTCATATATATAATTATATAATAGTATTATATAACATATATATATATATATATATATATATGTGTGTGTGTGTGTGTGTGTTGATGTGTGCGTGTGTGTGTGATGTAGTGTGTGTGTGTGTGCTGTGTGTGTGTTGTGTGTGTGTGTGTGTGTGGGCCATGTGTGTGTCTAGTGTGTTTGTTCGTGGTATAAATATGATATATACTATACTATATATTATATATATCATATTAATATATATATATATATATATTATTATATTTGTGTGTGGCTGTGTGTGTGTGTGTGTGTGTGTGCTTTGGTGTCGTGTGTGTGTGTGTGTGTGTGTGTTGTGTGCTTGTGTGTGTGATGTTATGTGTG